GGCTGCCACCAGCACTGACTGTCCCGGCCGCCTCTGGTTACCACTTATCACTGTCCCGCCGCCTCTGGTTACCACTTATCACTGTCCCGCCGCCTCTGGTTACCACTTATCACTGTCCCGCCGCCTCTGGTTACCACTGTCCCGCCGCCTCTGGCTGCCACTGTCCCGCCGCCTCCGGTCAGCAGCGGCGGGCTGCCACCAGTAGGTACTGTCCCGCCGACCGGTTTGTGGTGCGTTCCGGTCGCAGCTGCGGGGTCGTGCTCCCCCTCCGGTACCAGCTGTGTCCTCTGGCCCTGGCTATTTCGGAGTGGAGAGAGTCTGTGCGTCCCCCGGTCAGGTGCCGGCCACCGGTGTCTGTGATAGGACAGGTGTCTGTGTGCGACTGCGGGCCCGGGCCGCGGCAGTGGACCGTCGGCCGTCGGTCTCCCCCTGTGCCCGCTCCTGCCCGGTGTCAGCTGCGGACTGCGGGCTGCGTACGGACCGCGCCCACGGAGTTGTTCGGGTCGCCCTCCCCCTGTGTCCGCTCCTGCCCGGTGGCAGCTGCGGGCCGCGGAGGTGGTCGCCCTCCCTCTGTGCCCGGTGTAGGCTGCGGGCCGCGGAGGTGGTCGCCCTCCCCCTGTGCCCGCTCCTGCCCGGTAGCAGAGCTGCGGGCCGCGGCAGTGGAACGGCCCCGTTAGCGGCAGTGCAGCGCTGGTCTACAGGGTGTCCGGAAATTGATTGCACACTGTCCATATGCCCGTATCTCGCACATGCTCCCGCCAAACCGGTTAGGGAGGGTCGCGACCCCGCCCCCGGGCACCCCAGCGTGTCAGTTGATCACGTAACCCAGCAGGTGACCTGACCCGAGCCGCAGTGAGCGGCCACAGGTCATTTTCCGAGAGGCAGTCTTCACGCGCGGGCCCCATATCGGGAATGGTAAGGGAGCACACTTTGACGACGCGCCACCGCGCGGTTAGGATGGTTCAAGCCGGGATGACGGTAGGCGATGTTGTCCGACAAGTGGATGTATCTCGCCGGACCCTTCATTACTGGCTAGCTCTCGACCGCAGCGGTGCATCACTGGAGAATCGCAAGGGTCGTGGGAGGAAGACTGTGCTGAGCAGAGTGGCCAAAATCGTGCTCGCCAAGGCCGTGCTGAAACGACGCCAATCGACGCAGAAACTGGCCAAAAAGCTGACTGAGGAGGGTCACCCGGTGTCGAAGACCACTGTTCACAACTACATGACCAAGTGCTTGGGTCTCAAGCCGCTAAAACTGCGCCGCCAGCCAAAACTGACCCAAGGCCAGAAGCGGAAAAGGCTGGCGTTTGCCCGGGAGCGGAAGAACTGGACCATCCAGGAATGGCGGCGCGTCTTGTTCAGCGATGAGTCGGTGTTCGAGCTCATGCACCCGCCGAATCGCCAGAACGAGCGCGTTTGGGCGCACAGAGGCGCTGAAGTGCCTGCCATCGACACGGTGAAGCAGCCGCTGAAAGTCATGGTCTGAGCCATGATGAGTCATCAGGGCCTGTCGGAGCTCCACTTCGTCCCCCGCGGCCAGACCGTGACGGCCCAATACTGCGTGGAGGAGGTCCTGAAGATGTCGGCAGCGTCGGCGATGAAGCGGAAGAGGAAGACGGGGCTGCCAACACAGGTCGAGCTGCTCCCGAAGATGTCCGAGGCGATCTTCCAGCAAGACGGCGCTCCGGCTCATCACGCCACCAGCACTCAACAGTGGTGCCGGGACAACCTCCCAGGGTTTTGGGAGAAGGGTGTATGGCCGGGCAACAGCCCTGACCTGTCTCCCATCGAGAACGTGTGGGCTATCGTGCAGAGCGAGCTCGACATGATGGAGCCGGCTACCACCGAGTAGGCGCTAATCAGGAACCTCCAGCGAGCGTGGCTCAGCATCAGTGCGGAGACACTGGATAACCTAATGTGCGGCATGCTCGACCGTATGAGGGATTGTGTGCGACTGGGTGGAGGGTATATCGGCAAATAAACCATGAAACATGCTCGTTTTGTTTCCTTGTCAAATGTACTAAAAGAGTGTGCAATCAATTTCCGGACACCCTGTATTTGGTACGCCCATTGGGTGATGGGTCATTTCGGTATACAATAATCGGTGTTTTGTTACGACGCCATGCGTGTCATAAACTATCAGTCGTGAGCATCCCAACTTCCTTTTTTATCAAATAGGTATTAGAGATTTACCACAAGGGACATTGTAATTACTAACACAAAGGAGACCATGTCACTACTGCCACTGCCCACCTTGATCGAAATAAGGAACTCTACCGCTATGCTGGGACGTAAGGAACTCCTACCGCTATACCCGGGTCACAAGAATCTGTACCGCTATGTCCATTTCACGTGATAAAGTGCATATTTATGCGCCGTATCAAGCGCGGGGTATATTCATGGTCGCATACATCAGACTAGCGGAGCCACGGCTGAGTTCCGGCTGATAACTGACGGTTCAGAGCCACGGCTCGGTCCGGCTGGTAACTGACGACCCGGTCCGGCCGGTAACTGACGGCCCGGTCCGGTCCGGCTGGTAACTGACGACACGGTCCGGTCCGGCTGGTAACTGACGGCCCGGAGCCACGGCTCGGTCCGGCCGGTAACTGGCGGCCCGATCCGGTCCTACGGCCGTCTCTGAAGCCAGGCGGCGGACGGCTGCGGCTGATGTGGGGCGCGATATATCGCCGGGGACTACTAACTCAGACTAACGGGAGACCAACGACGACTGACTGAATAGGCAAACGACGACTGACGGGAGACCAACGACTGACGGGAGATCAACGACTGACTGGAGACAAACGACTGGCGGGAGACCAACGACTGACGGGAGACAAACGACGACTAACGGGAGACCAACGACGACTCTTGAGGTCTAAATGCCGGAAGGGCGCTGTACCCAAAGCTCAGCGACACAGCCCCACTAGCCCAGTGTGCGTTGTGCGCTCCATTCCTACACTGTGGTCCCCGGCTCGCCCGCTCCAGTGGCCCTGTGTGTGGACTGTGGGTGGGGTCAGCTGTACTACAGTGTTGGTCCCGGTCGCCCGTTCCAGTGGCACTGTGTGTGGACCGCGAGTGGGGTCAGCTGTACACTGTCGGTGGCGGGCGCCGCTGAGCAGCCAGACACTGCCAGCGGCGGGCGGTCGCCGACGCCGACAGGACAATTTCATTGTCCACCAGACACCGGAGCTCACTGAGGAGGTGCCGCCCTCGGCCCGGCCCCGGCGACACTCGAGTGGCCCAGGGGCGCCCGGCTGAAATCCTCCGCCAATCTCACCGAGTGGCGCCTGCCTTTTACGGCTGGGCTCCAACAATACGGCGGTGACGGCTGGGCTCAGACAATACGGCGACGGCTCGCCGAGCCGCTCCTCAGAGCTGAGACGGGCCGCCGAGCCGGCGCCGGCGCTGCCTTATCGCCGCTGTCGCCAGACCATCTCTCAGTTCCAGCTCCCTCTGCACCGGACCATCTGTCCCGTCTCCTCGCTCCGTCCAGCAGCCTGTAACGCCCCCTCTGCCTTTCCGTGTCCTGTATCCGGTGTCCCATGTTCGTTGTCTTGTGTCTGTTGTCCGATGTATGTGTCTCGTTTCCGTTGCCCTGTGACCGGTGTCCTGTGCCCGTTGTCTGATGTCCGGTGTCCTGTGACCGGTGTCCCTGTGTCTGTATCTTGCACCGTGTCCTGTGTAGTGTACGCTGGTCGCAAGTGGCTGCTGCAGCCCTCTGTCACGTGCATGTTGTGGGACTGCTCTGAAAGTGCTCTTCTTGTGTCGGTAGTAAGTGTGCACCGAGTTACTTTACTGACTGCTACAGTTCCGTAAGCTGCGAGTAAGTCCTGTTACGAATGCAGTATGCCCCCGCCCGGCAGTATGCCCAATATTCCCAGTTGGTTGTCTGCTCTCTCCCTTTGCCAACTTGAGATTAACCTGTTTATGTCGCACTGGCGGACTTATGTAGTGTACCGGCACTGCCAACGTTTTTTTTTTCGTTGACACCGCTTCCGGGGCTACGAAATATTTGTTTCGTCTAATGAACAACAGCGATTGAATGTAACCCGAGGGTGTTTTCCTCTGCTGTCCGACTGCGCGTTAGCCGTTAGCGGCGTTTGTTTTCCTCTGCTGTCCGACTGTGCGTTAGCCGCTATCGGCGTGTGTTTTCCTCTGCTGTCCGACTGTGCGTTAGCCGTTATCGGCGTTTGTTTTCCTCTGCTGTCCGACTGTGCGTTAGCCGCTATCGGCGTTTGTTTTCCTCTGCTGTCCGACTGTGCGTTAGCCGTTATCGGCGTTTGTTTTCCTCTGCTGTCCGACTGTGCGTTAGCCGCTATCGGCGTGTGTTTTCCTCCGAGGGTGGTGTGGCCGCCGGAGGCCGCTGACCGCCGGCCGTTGGCACATCGAGACCGTTATTGGCCCGGATGTGTGTACGGGACCGGCGGCCTTATCAGATCGGAATTGGTGGGCGGGCGGCTGGTCCAATGCTACCAGGGGATGGAACTGAAGACCATCTCCAACCAACCCACGGTCCCCAGTGTTGTGCTCCGTCCCCGTCCGGCGGACCCGCGGACACTGGAGCAGTGCGGCACAGCCTACATGTCAGGCGGCGCCAGTGCTGCCATCTGTGGCAGCGACTTTGAACTGCTAGTGCGGGTTGGCGCCGCTACAGCACACGGCGCACGCGTCGGGCCCGCTGCGGACTGTCAGTACATTTTGAACTCTCAATTCAAGTGTGTTGGATGGGCGCCGGACCAATCTATTCTGTACTGTCCAACAAATTCGCCGCGTGCCTTTGCTACCGAAAATTAATGGCCATGGCTCGTAAATCTCTGCCCGCATTTAAGCTGTCGAGTCGGTTTGCTGGCTACATTGCGCTGGCCCGTCACCCAGTCTCAGCACAGTCCGTGTGCGCCGCTGCAGTGTGTCCGTTTGACCCCTCTATCCCCCTGTTGTCCTCAGGTGACCGCGCCGCTGCAGTGTGTCCGTCTGACCCCTCTATCCCCCTGTTGTCCTCAGGTGTCCGGCCCCCTGCAGTGTGTCCGGCTGACCCCTCCCCCTGTTGTCCTCAGGTGTCCGCGCCGCTGCAGTGTGTCCGCCTGCTCAGCTCTCAGCCCGGCGGCCCGGGCGCTCTGCCCACGGAGCCCACGGTGGGCCCGCCGCCCGATCAGCTGGACACCACCCCGGTCAAACGCTCCATCTCGCCCTCACTGGCCGAAGGTAGGCACCGGCGGCCAGCCGTCACTGTCACACTGCCGTCACATACCGTCACATACCGTCACACTGACCGTCACATACCGTCACACGGCTGTCACGGCGGGCACTCGTCACAGGTCGGGGCCAGAGTCGCACGCGACTGATATTGGGAATTTTACTTTCTATGTATTTCGATCACTGGCTAGATGTGGAGGCATCTCTTGTCTATGCACATGTATTGCTGTGCATCGTGTGTATTCTGTTGTCCGACTGCAATCACCTTTTTACTTAAGATTTCGAAAAGAAATATGGCAATTAGGCACAGTGCCGTGGCCACTGTTCAACATTTATTACACTGGCACACTGGCTCTGTGACCTCCGCAGTCTGCACTTTGATGTGGTTTGCCGGCCCACATTCAGTGGTTTTCTCACTCACAAAGTCGCCATTTCATCAAAACGTGGCGGCTGATCAGTGAGCCGCTCGGGTATTTACCCCAGCGCTGTATTGTCTCCGTTATTTACCCATGCAGTATGGTGTTCGCTCAGATATTTACCCCAGTAATGTATGCATTCGCTCGTTTATTCGCCCGTTTGCTCCATTCGCTGGAAGTCATTCCTCCACTCCAGAGGAATGGGCACCAAACCCTTACCTTAGCTCGCAGCACTCGCCTTTATTGAGCGCGGGGCAGTGCTCAGGAATTATTCGGGAGAGGAATTATTCAGTCAAGGAGTTATTCTCGTTCAGTTTGTGTCATTTGTTTCCTGCATAGGAGATAGATATAGAGCGGGTCGGCCCGACTCGGCTGCGAAACGGACCGTAGCCGTCGGAGGTTTGACGGACGGCGGTGCTACTGCTGACTGTGTGGTTGCACTGACGCTGTGTGGTACTGACGGTGTGTCGTACTAACTGTACTGACGCTGTACTGTACTGACGCTGTACTGTACTGACGGTGTGTCGTACCGACTGTGTACTGTACTGACGCTGTGATACTGACGCCGTACTGACTGTGTGGTTGTACTGACGCTGTATGGTACTGACGGTGTGTCGTACTGACTGTACTGACGCTGTACTGTACTGACGCTGTACTGTACTGACGGTGTGTCGTACCGACTGTGTACTGTACTGACGCTGTGATACTGACGCCGTACTGACTGTGTGGTTGTACTGACGCTGTGTGGTACTGACGCTGTACTGTACTGACGGTGTACTGTACTGACGCTGTACTGTACTGACGGTGTACTGTACTGACGGTGTACTGTACTGACGGTGTACTGTACTGACGGTGTACTGTACTGACGGTGTACTGTACTGACGGTGTACTGTACTGACGGTGTACTGTACTGACGGTGTACTGTACTGACGCTGTACTGTACTGACGGTGTACTGTACTGACGCTGTACTTCTACTGACGCCATGCCGGACTGACGCTGTGCTGTACTGACTGTGTACTGACGCTATGTGATACTGACGGTGTGCTGTACTGACGTTGTGATACTGACGCCGTACTGACGGTGTAGTTGTACTGACGGTGTGTCGTACTGACTGTGTACTGACGATGTGTCTGCACTGACGCCGTGCTGCACTGACTGTGTCTGCACTGACTGTGTCTGCACTGACTGTGTACTGACACTGTGTGGTACTGACGGTGTGTCTGCACTGACTCTGAAGTGTGCTGACTCGGCACTATACATACACTGTATACTGACGCCGAGCCGCAGTTCAGCTCGCGCCGGTCGCCCGGGCCGCCCATCGATTCTCACGGACCACTGCACTAGCGCCGACGCGATTTGGGAAAACTGCTGATTGTGTTGAGGACGGGCTGCCGACAGCGGTACGGGCGGGTTCAACATTCGATGGGGTCGGCGATTCGGGCGTGGGTCAGCCGGTCCTGAGCCGTCTCAGTGGGACTCTGGCAGGCGGGTGGCTGGGCCGTGCAGTGTGCCAGCTCCTCTCTGACCGCGGCCCCACCCTCCTCTGCCTGTAACAGAGCTCGCCGTACGGAGGGGGTTATTGGTGGGGGTATTGTCGGGCTTCCAATACTGTCTATCGGTGAATCAGGATTGGTGTTATTGACACCTTGTGCATTATTTACAACAATTTTACGCTGATACACTGGGGACCGAGTGTCTTCTCACCTTCCCCTTTTATAGCATGTGGCCCGCAGGATTTGCGATAGGCTGTTGGCACATGCCCCGCGGTCTGTATCTCTTTCCATTAGCATCCAAACTGGGCTTTTGTATCTGTATCTCTTTCCATTAGTATCCAAACTGGGCTTTTGTATCTGTATCTCTTTCCATTAGTATCCAAACTGGGATTTTGCGAGCTCAACACTGAATGGTATACTGCAGTTATGGTTGTCGTTGAGCATGCTTTCTTTGATATACTCCGAAACATTTCTCATAAAGTCAAGAGCTGTACTTTTAGCAGTTGTCTGGTGCGAATTGCGGTCGTAAGCCGAATATAGATGTCCGGTGGGCGGTGATTGGATCATCAGGTATAACCCTCTGAACCAATCCTGACTTGGTGGCCCGGTTCGGACGACCCGGGCGCGGCGCGCTGCCAGAATCCATCCCACGGAGATGTGCTCCGGGCACGGGAGCGGCGCCCCGGGCCGGGCAGCTGTATCGCACTGGAGCCCGGGCGACGGGAGCGGCTCCCCGGGCCGGGCAGCGATATCGTAACGAAACCCGGCCGACGCCAGCTCCGGGCGGCGGGAGCGGCTGTCCGGGCCGGGCAGCTGTATCGTAACGGAGCCCGGCCGACGCCAGCTCCGGGCGGCGGGAGCGGCTGTCCGGGCCGGGCAGCTGTATCGTAACGGAGCCCGGCCGGCGCCAGCTCCGGGCGCGGGAGCGGCTCCCCGGGCCGGGCAGCTGTATCGTAACGGAGCCCGGGCGCGGGAGCGGCTGGGCGGGCCGGGCAGCTGTATCGTTACGGAGCCCGGCCGGCGCCAGCGCGGCGCCCGGCCCTGGAGACGAGCGGCGAGGAACAGACCTTTAGCGCCCGGTCCTTGAGACGAGCGGCGGGGGCAGACCTTAAGCGCCCGGCCTTTGAGATAAGGGGCGGGGACGGACCTTTTGGCGCCCGGCCTTTGAGACAAGCGGCCGCCGACACGGTCTGTGGTCCGTCCGTGGTCCGCCGACACGGTCTGTGGTCTGTGACTCTGTTCACACGGTCCTTGGTCCGTCCCTGGTCCGCTGACACGGTCCACGGACGGGGTTGGCGCTGAGTGCCGGCAGCCCCCCGGCGCCGACCGGACGTGGGTGACGCTGAGTGCCCGCTGCTGGCACCCCTCAGATTCGGTGGGTCTGAGTGCCCGCTGCCGGCACCCCTCAGAGTCGGTGGGTCTGAGTGCCCGCTGCCGGCACCCCGAGTCGGTCTCTGAGCATGTGGCGGAGGAGCCGGACAGGGTCCGCCGTGGAGTCACCTATCGTGTCGTGTCGGGCTTCGGTCCGTCGGGTGGAACGTTATGCACAGTTAGACACCGTGTCTTATATCACTCCTGCATTCGCAACGTTTTTTTTTTTCTTAAAGAAACAATATCCTTTATTGTTTGGAAACGAAGCACGCCACGCGAGATTATCGCCCTTCTAATTTAGAGACGTTACAGCTTGTTTGTCACATATTGGACACATCGAACTAGAAACACACGCACACATGCATTGCTTACAATGTGTTATCTTAATCTAGGACATTGCAAGCCCAACCCAGTGACTCTTCACTGTTCGGTGCATGTCAACAGCCATGGGCGGACATACTTCTCACGCCACCCTTCCCTACGTCACAACGGTGACGGATTCCACGTCACCCCTCACGGTGCATCACCGCGCCACCAACGCGTTACTGCGCCACCAACAGGTAACCGCGCCATCAGTACGTCACTGACGGGCCCTGCTCCGCGCTCCCAGTTTATCACGGCAGGGCGCGGCGGCCGGTCACGCCGTGTTACGCTGTCACGGGTGTCCGTGTCACGGGCGTTACGCTGTTACGGCTGTCCGTGTCACGGGCGTTACGCCGGTCCGCGGTCTGCCTGGTCAGCGATGTCCGCCGGCGACCGGCGCTCGACCGGCCGGCCTTCTTTGGTGCTCTAGACTAGGACTAGCAGTGGAGCATATGAACTTGAAGCACCTGCTGATTGCGCGCATACATGTTTAGCGTGCTCCTAGCGATATGACCTTCTATCACTGTGCACTGTTAGTTCGGTGTGGCGACGTTTTCATAGAGGCTGTGTTTACGTATTGTCGCACTCCTGGCGCGGATGCGGGCCACAGCGGCTCTCTCGGCCCCGTGGTCCCGCGCCTCAGCCGACTGCGAGCCTGGCCGGGTCCTCTGCCCCTTATAGCGACACTGGCCGGATCCTCAGCAGATGCTCATGACAGAGACCCTGGCCGCGGTCCCCTACTCCGGACAGTGTCCTGTGCTCCGGACAGTCGGCTCAGCTCTGATCGGGCCGCGGTCCCAGCTCTGATCGGGCCGCGGTCCCAGCTCTGGTCGGGCCGCGGTCCCAGCTCTGGTCGGGCCGCGGTCCCAGCTCTGGTCGGGCCGCGGTCTCGGCCGCGGTCTCAGCTCTGGTCGGGCCGCGGTCTCAGCTCTGGTCGGGCCGCGGTCTCAGCTCTGGTGGGGCCGCGGTCTCAGCTCTGGCCGGCCACGGTCTCAGCTCTGGTCGGGCCGCGGTCCCAGCTCTGGTCGGGCCGCGGTCTCAGCTCTGGTGGGGCCGCGGTCTCAGCTCTGGCCGGCCGCGGTCTCAGCTCTGGCCGGCCGCGGTCTCAGCTCTGGTCGGGCCGCGGTCTCAGCTGCACTGGCGGCCGCGGTCTCAGCTCTGGTCGGGCCGCGGTCCCAGCTCTGGTCGGTCCGCGGTCTCAGCTCTGGTCGGGCCGCGGTCCCAGCTCTGGTCGGGCCGCGGTCTCGGCCGCGGTCTCAGCTCTGGTCGGGCCGCGGTCTCAGCTCTGGTCGGGCCGCGGTCTCAGCTCTGGTCGGGCCGCGGTCTCAGCTCTGGTGGGGCCGCGGTCTCAGCTCTGGCCGGCCA